AAAAAAACTTTTCGTTTACCTTCGTCTTGTGCATTTTTCCAACTGATTTTAATCGATCACAAGCATGTTGAACGTCTCCAGGCTTCTCCTCGATGCTGCTTATGATTTCGTCAAACACCTAAAAAACGATTTTTGCAGGTACAAGAAAAACTTCATAGGGCGATATATTCAAAAGGTTAAATCACATACCTTTAGATACAAAGCAGACATATTTTCAAAACCGGAATCGCTGCATGTCATATCGACGGTGGCCCCATCGATATTCTTCAGCTTTGGATAAAGTTTCGCGTTTTCAGGGTTTTGATTCAAGTACCTGGAATACTGAGTTCTGAATTCTGGGGAAACTTTTTGACAAAACTTTATGGATTGGAAGGTACATCTGGTGCTATCAATATTCAAAAATGTAGGTTAGGTTTTGTAGAATATGAAGTGTAGAAGTGAATTCAAATTGTGAAGCAGATGAGTCACAGACTGATAAATCCCTGCTATGCCTCACCAAATATGAAATTAAGAAGTACCTGCTAAAGAGCAACTGAGCTGAATCCTGCCGTTTCCGGTCGATTGCTTTCCAGTAATTTTTTAACGTGAAAAAGTCCCTTAAATGGTAGATCTATATCAACCAAAAAGTTCCTATTTTAGAATTTTTAGTTTTGTGGGATAACCGTCAAAGTCTAAAAACTGAATGAAACTAACCTATATGTATCCATTCCTACTCGTTTGTCAAGCTGTTTAACTGGCTCTGGTTCCGGCAACGGCACCCCTTTATCCTTGCTCTTTTTGAGCTTTTTAAACACTGCCATGATTCTGAAATAAGAAAGTGAAGTCTTCCCATTTCCACTGGCAGAGACATTGCGATAAAAGCAGAAGTAGAAAAGTTAGTCGCTTGATGGCTGAAAACTCTAAACCTTCAAGTTTTATTTCTACAATTCTCGATAACATTTGAACTTCAGTTGTTCAATAGGCAATAGCTAAACGAAACAGAAACAATCTTTCCCAGCCAGTTTTTAAAGAAGCTGTGGTATAAACTTTGCTCTTAATAGTAAACAGTGTACAGGGTAATAACCAATAATATACTTTTAAGGTTTTACTATAACCTTGAACAGACACTCTGTATATCTCACAACAGCATAGTTTCCACTGAGAGGGAGTTTAAAGTTTCAAGAGTTATGCTTCAGCACTGAATTTTGAATGATTTAGCACAATGAAAAGAGGGTGAATGAATGAGTGATTGAATAAAGAATGGCAATGGATGACAAATGATGAGTAGGTAATTGAAAACATCAACTTATAGCGTAATATTGTAGGCGCTGCTAGTAGATTCACTCGGTCCACCTCTTAAATTGATGGGTGACAGCTTTTTCTTGGTAAGATCCACAAGAGTCTATTTCTGTGAAATTTTTCGCA